ACTCTTGAACGGTTGCACATTTTTAGACGAAATTTAAAATCTGTCGATGAAATTCGGTATAGCTTCCTATGAAATTCTAAAATCCAAGATAATACTAACAGTAAAAAATCCTAGGAGGGGGGATCAGGAAAATGCTAATTTTTTTCGCAAACTCCGAGGGCAAATTTTTTTTGATAAAATTCCATCATTTGGACTCAACATCACCCTCTATGAGTTTCATTTGAGTCCCATGCTCAAAAGTCAAGATTCAGCATACTGAAAAATCCTGGATACGTCATTGCCTCATCAGTATGCTATAAGTGTTTAAGAAAGATTCTTTTTTAACTAACTTTCTCTTTTTGGTTCTTTGACATTTTGGACAATTAAATTTTTTATTTTCATAACATTGAATATGGAAGCATGATTGGCATACTGAAAAAATAAAACATAAATTTCTTCTTGTTGTTTTTTTTCTTTTTTTTTTCTGTACAAATAAAGAAAACTAAAACTACAAACCAGAACAAGTACTCGTTGTTTGAATATTAAATGGAAAAATAATAGTTTTGTCATTATTACAAATTTCACATATGTAACCTTTAGCAAAACATAAAGAACATGTTAAAACATGATCACGCAATTTCATAACAATTGGTTCAAACACTTTATGCAATTCACCTGATTTAGTCTTAAGAAAAATACAAATAAAAGTGTTTAATAATGTAAAACTAAAAGTAATTATATTTACTTTAAATAAATCTTCTAATGAATATATATGTGGATGTTCATATATATATGATGGTAATGTTTGTAAACTTTGTTGATATCTAGATTATTTTATAATTCATAATCAAATTAAACAAATATTAACAATATAATTACCCTGTTTCTTCAGCAAAACGACATGTTAATATATAACGACGAAGAAAATAAAGTGTACAACGAAGTTCATTCATTATTTTTAATTTAGTACTTTTTTGAAATAATTTTGAATTAAGATCATTTATATTAAATACTGCTTCTTTATATATGCGATTTAAATAATCAAAAGCAAAATTTGATACACTATGTTTATTTGAAAAATCCCATTTTGTTATTATATAAGATGGTAGATAAGATTTTTTATCAGAATGACAACTACGGCAAAAATATTTGCCTAATAGAGAAATTTATTTTTAGAATTTTTGTAAAAGATTTTTTTTTTTTTTTTAATTACCAGTATATTCACAATATCGAAATCGATATGCATAACCTTTTTCAACATAACGTCCACAACCAGCACATAAATAGCCTTGTTTTTTTAATTGACTATCACGACTAAATAAAAAGAAATTATTTATTAATTCGAATAAATTTATGCTCTGTTTCGTATTTAATTCGATTATATCAATCTGAAAACCATCGTTAGATAAATATCGATGAAATATTAAATGATCACAGTCTTCAGATCAATCTCTTGGTGTCTACTAATTTCATCATCTAAAGATTTTCATCCGATTTTTTTTTTTAAATCGTCAAAATTCTAAGAAAATATGCATAAGTCTTGAAGAAACTCTATCGTTTTGTACAATATTTCATTCAGATTACCTCTTCCCAGAGCTGGAACCGGACAGAAATTTCTAAAACGGTCCGGTCCGGCCGGAAAACCGACCGGTTATAAAGCGCTCTTAAACCGGTGAAATTCCGGCAAAATTGACAAAAAAACGGTTGAACTCACTGCTTGAAAATCGTTCTAGATAGTCAATATATGGTATAAACTGGCAAACTCGGTTCCAACTATTAGATCAATAAACTAGTAGTTAGGTAGAGCTATCCAAACAATATAATTTAGTTTTTCACATTATGAATGCAGACATCTGATAATTCTACGTTTTTCCCATCAAGCTTGTAAGACA